TGTTTTTTTCCCCCCAAAACAGGCATATTATTGAGCGGTACTGTAGTTATCAGAAATGTGCTGAAGATGTTTGGACATTCAGCTCATACATAATTTCATCTTATTTTCAGACATGTCAGTAATGTGAATATGTTATATGGCTCTTCTCAGCTGACCTCATCGCCACGGCGGCACAGCTGACCAATCAGAGGCTGGTGTGCGTCCTGGAGGCGTGTCACCTGGGCGGAGCCTCCACGGAGCTGGTCCTGAGCCGAGCCTTCCACCTGACCGACTGATGCATCATGGGAGTTTTTACACCTGGGCGTTTTGTTTTGATTTACTGATGCACTTTACGATGTTTATGTTGGGAGTTGTAGTCTTTAACTCTCATTGGACTACAGTTTAGGAGCCTGTTACTGGTTTATTTGAGCACTTTACAAGGTTCAGAGTGATTCTACACACTGAGTGATGTCTGACGTTAGAAACGCCTCCAGCAGCTGATGGGAGGAAGTGAGAAGAAGAGCAGAAATCATTTGTGTTTGAGGGAGAAATAAAGAAGTGAGAGTGTTCAGCTCCTGGTCCGCAGTTCAGATTCTTCTTATTTCCACTTCAATGGATCAAACAGTGTTAAAGCATCAGAGACGGATGTTTGTGCCTTTTGTGTTCATGAAAGGAAGTCTGACGCTATGAAGAGTCTGCACTGTGCTGTCACAGGAAAGCCTCCAGTGATGCTGGGAGCTCTGGTTCTGGTGCCGGGAGCTCTGGTTCTGGTGCCGGGAGCTCTGGTTCTGGTCGGAACACTTCAGTATGTTTCTAAAAATGTTTTTATCGTGTGAAGTTATCTTGAAAAGTACATTTATTATGTCGTCGTGCTCCTTCCTGCCCCTGTGACTTAAAGCTTTGCCCTTTTTTAAACTTACATTTTAAATTATTCTTCAGTTTCTTCTCAAGTTGTGAAGAAAAAAACCTTTTTTTCATCCTCTGAGCGACGTCTGGACGTTTCAGCTCAGCCAGAAAATCTGAGGATTCTTTCACCTTCTACAGTTTCTGACTGATGAATGGTGTCATTTGAAACAAAACAAGCTGTTTGGTGCCATGCTGGAGGATTTCACTGAGACGTTTACGGTCTACAGGACACGAAATACAGAAATGAGTGACCCTCAGTGTGTCTGAACTCCTGGTTCACTGTCAGTGTCGTGTTCGTCCTGCTGCTGAAACCTCTCAGCTTTTTCTAAACTGTGAACTTTTGAATGATGAAAGGACAAATGTTTTGTTTCATAGCAGTCTAATAAATCCTCCTCTGTCTTTAATATCATGTTGTTCTGTCGTCCTGCTGCTGCTTTTACCTCACAGGAAGCTCCAGTTTGTCCTTTTTAAAGGGACGTCAGAGGATTAAAGAACCAACAGCTCAGATTTTTGATTTACATTTTAAACGCTGCATGTTTAATTTTCCAACAACAGACTGGGACAACAATCACTTTTCTATAGTCGATCATCAGCTCATCGGGACGCTTGTGGAACCTGCAGGTGTGTTCAGGTGATGGAGGAACAGGTCAGGCAGCATCAAGGTCGGTCTCACCGTTGTGTTTATTACTGACAGGAGCTCAGAGCATCACATAGTGCAACATACAGCCGGATACGTCCTGACAATCAGCAAGACACCACAAACCACGGGAGAGGCGGAGGTGTGACTGGTGGGGACTGTTTCCTGGTGTATGTAGGGGACGGTCCACCGTGGATCAGACTATTTGCTGGTGTATGTAGGGGGAAGTTCACTGTGGATCAGACTATTTGCTGGTGTTTGTAGGGGACGGTCCACCGTGGATGTGGTGTTCAGCTGCGCTGGCTGTGTTTCTGACAGACGTAGCGCAGCTTGGTGGAGCAGTGCAGGTCATTGAGGCGTCCGTCGAAGTGAAGATGAGCGCAGTCTTCGTCTCCGGGACCAAGACCATGAGCCGTCCAGCTGTCCGGCTGACCCGGCTTCCAGCGCCTGGAAACCACCACAAGCAACGTAAACACGAGGTGAGCAACACTTGTTTCAGGGCTCCTTGACTTCATAGAAACTCATTGAAAATGTGACGTTTCTAATCTTCTTCGGACACTTGACCTGGTTTGGTTTTTCCAAGGTGCTCAGTCAGTAAGTGCTCCTGCAGTTCATGTCACTGTTTGTTGTAACGGTTAGTTGATAAAGACTGAAGGCAGGAACCAAGTCAGACTTCTTTTCTAAAGTCCACTTCCTAAAAGTGTTTCCAGTGTCCTGCTCAAAGGGATTCTTTGGGTTTCGGGTTGTAACTAAATTAACTAACCTAATTCTGAAATTATTTGGGGCATTTGTTCAGAGTATAAAATATTGTAGGTTCTTAACCTCAACATTTAAATTAGTCAAGAAAAAATGTATATTAAACTATATTGCAAGGTCTGAATATTAATATTTGAATTAGTCAGAACTGGAAACACCAACAGAACCTCCACTGACCTTGACAGCGCTGTGAGAGGAACAACACTCAGTAGAATGACAGACAGACCAACAAACCTCCGGTTCATGACGTAGGGCGTCTGGTTGACCCACTCCCACTTCCCCGTCCTCTCATCGGTCAGACCGATCCAGTAGAAGCTGCCTGAGGTGTGACGGGTCACAAAGTCCTGGTGGACAGACGGAGGGACACCTGGTTTCACTGCTCTGTGTTCATGCTGGACGTTGTTGTCCACACAGCTGAGACAGATGGACAGACTCACCCACTCCTCGTCGGTGAGGAGGATGACCAGGTGGGACTCGTGTCCGTTGCACCAGTCTCTGGCGTCGTCCCACGACTGTGGATCCGAGCTGAAGTAGTAACAGCTGGAGCTGAAGGGGTTCCAACCCAGAGGACAGCAGCCGTCCGCCGTCGAGCCTGAGACCGAAGGACGGGAGAAGATCTGACAACCTTCTAATACTTCTGCCTTCATAAAGAGTGTGGACTCATTTGGAAGCTGAGGACACCTGGTGGACACGTGGACCTCCCAGAACCTTTTAGACAAGATTACAACTAAATGTTTTCATGAGGTGAGAGAATTTTGGCCAAATGAGGATATTACTGGATAAAACTAAGCTTTTTCTAGAGAATGTGGACCTTTGAGAAAAGGCCAGAAGACACTACAGCAGAAGGTTTGGAAGTCTGACGGACCGCCTCCTGCAGTATCCAGGCTCTGCTTTGACTTGGTTTCTGGTGGCTTTGCTTTTAGTTGTGGAACTTGGTTTGGGATAGGTTTTGAACTGGTTTAGGACTGGTTTTAGCTGGTTTTAGACTGGTGTAGAACTGGTTTTAGACTGGTTTAGGACTGGTTTTAGCTGGTTTTAGACTGGTTTTAGACTGGTTTTAGCTGGTTTTAGACTGGTTTAGGACTTGGTTGTGGACTGGTTTTGGGCTTAATTTTAGCGGGCTGTTGGACTGTGTTTTGGCTGGTGGTGAACTAGCTGCAGATGGATTTTGGGCCGGTTTAGGACCAGTGTAATGCTGGTTTGATTGGTGCCATCATAGGACAGTCCATGTCCTGCCTCAGCTCCACCTCTATGCTCTGGTTCAGGTTATCTGGGGGGTGGAGGTGTCCAGTGCTGCAGTTGGAGAAGCTTCAGAACGCGCTGCAGGAACCCAGCAGGCGGCGCTGCTGAAGGTTCAGACATCTTCGGTCTCTGTGAGTTCGTACTCGAAGCCTTTTCTAAACATCTGAGAAGTGTTTACCGTTGTTGATGATGCGTTCGAGGGAACACTTGAGCCCCGCGACCGTCCTCCTGATGGAGTCGAGAGCTGAGAGCTGCTTCAGCGCCTCCGACACTGAAGGAACAACAGAGCCTGGGTGAGCCGGTGAACACCGAGGGTCGGCACAGGGTCTGTGCAGGGTTTCATACCTGACGTCAGCTGGTCCTTGTTGCTCTCCACAGCAAACTTCAGCCGCTGGACGTCTTTAGCTGCATCTGGAGCAGAAGAAGGACAGATTAGAGGCGGCAGTGTTTGGGGTGTAGACAGATGATCGTGTTACCTTTGGTGAGCTGCTGGGCGCCGCTCAGCGAGTCACTCAGGTTGGAGACACTTTTCTCCACAGACCACAGACGGCTGGACGTCTTCGCGCCTGCACACAAGTGATCCACAGTTAAGGTCATATTTCACATACGTGACCCTGTCAGCCGGCACAGCCTGGGATGTCTCACCACTTTCAATTCAGAGCACAGAACTGCACATTAACAATAATTAACTGTGTCATTAATGCGCACTCACCACTGGCTGCCCAAACCATGATTGGACTTTTGGATGAGTTTCTGTCACGGTGAGGATTAAATGTAATTTGGGATGAATTTCAAGTCATTTGGACTCATTTTACATTGTTTTGGAAAAGTTTTTGGTCACATTAGAAAACTTTTGATGAAAGTTTGAGTAATTTTGGTCAAAGAGTCTCACTGGACAAATTTGGAGTTAGGAGTCACTTTAGGCACACTGCACACATTTTGAGAAATTTTAGACTCAATGTGCATCATCTGGATGCCTTTTGAGTCGACCATCCATCCATCATCCATCATCCATCCATCCATCCATCC